GCAAGTTAACGACTTGTTTACTGGGCGTTTTTCTGCCGTTTCCATAACGTTAACGCGCCGTTTTTTGTGTTGACCGTTTACTGGAGATTAACTGGCCGTTAACGGGCCGTTTTTTTGGACCTGGGTTAGTTTTCATGATATACCTGTAATTCTCCAAAAGAAGATAACAGACCAGCTCCATATGCACGACGTTCGTTATTTTCCACACATAAACCAAATTCAATCGTAAACCAATAAACTGAGGCCAAATGTGTGATGTATTCATCCGGTGCTCCAAGAGAGGCTAAACCGATTTCTTGGCTAAATTCAGCAAAATCTGGATCAGCAAGCAATGGAACGTGTCTACAACACAATGATCGACGATAGCAAATAATTCAGATAGATTAAGCTATATTACCCAAGTAGTTCATGACAAACATCGGGTTCTGGTGTATACATTGGCACGCTATAATGTCGAATATATTGTGTTGAGTGAAATACACGAAAGGCAAGACCAGCTAAAAAGTCTCGTGATGATAATAAGCCTAAAATGGTTGATGGAGAAAACAACATACGTTCAAGCATGACAGCAAAAATACGCTCTCACCAGCAACTGGTCGTAAACGAAAGCCACTGCAATCTCTTAAAAACTGTGATACATCTTCCAATTGAGGTATATTATTTTGAGTGTAACCACAGTTATCAATTAACAATGGAAATATATTATTAAATTCTTTGCAAGCATGTGATGGATACAGTTGTGTTAATTCTTTGAACACAGTTGACCATGTCTGAGTTTCTTGTTCGGTATACGTGACACGGGGAATTGGTTGATTATGACGATAGTTTATTGCTATATCAGCAAATTCTTTCCGGCGTTTTCGATACAAAACATCTCGAAATCCTGGATGATCTGTAAGGAGCAGAGAAGAACATTAATCTATTTTGGAGTCTCTACTTAGGTCAGTTTTCAGTTATACCGGACTCTAACTCTGATCCATACGATAACACACGATTGGCAAACTGATCAAGCTCTCCGATTTTTCGAGGAAACCATGGCACTGAAAAGACTTGTAAAATAATGAAAAGGAACCCAAGAAAAACAGGGAAATATCGTGAATAAAGCAAATCATGTATGCTTGCCTGATGTTTCATTTGTTTTTTGCGACGGATCATCTGAAGTGAAAGAAAAGTCAAACGGTTTCAGAATATAGTGAAGACTTATTGTCTGGAATCATGTCGCAAGACAGCAGACAGTCAAAAAGAATCTTACGACGTTTGAACTCGTGAGAAACTTCATCACTTTTATAACGATATCGTAGATGATCGAACAACTTCTTATGCCAAGAACCTTTTCTCACGAATCAGTGTTCAAACAATCGCGTCATAGTAAACTGTTTGGTCCGTGGAGTAGTGATCACAACCACAATGCGTTTCTTTGCAAATTAGAAGACCTGTTTCATTCTCAAGAACGTCAACGTCTGATCGGGAAACCGTCCATTGGAATCGTCAGAGTAACGACGCTTGTCTGAGATGAGAAGTAAGGTGACGTTTTCAATATTGATCGATTTTTGTTATGACCACGTGAAGTTTCAAGCGAAAACTTTTATCAGACGTTCTACTTGAGAGTACTATCATAGCAATATGTACACTCTAAAAAAAAATGCTACTTCAATGATGTGTCTGCTGAGAAAAAGTGTCTTGCATGTGACTATATTGCGTCTTCAAAATAATAGGTGTCTCCTATATGTCTTAAAGTGTCTACTAGTAGGCATATAGAAGTCACATTGGAGCCCCATGGAAGACGTGTGAACGAGAAAGACGCTTAGTAGTCACATCATTTCGCCTCCCATGTGTCTGTTTTTAATCAAGGTCCTACACGAAATGTCAACGTAAGAGGCTAATAAGACTAAAAACTAATGTGCCTTTGTGGTTCAGTGGTGAACACATTCGTCTCGTAAGCGAATAGGCCGAGTTCAATTCTTGACAGGAACAAAATTTTTTTAATGCGTCTTTTCTAGAAGACACATCAAAGCGACTTCGACAAAGGCGCTAAAATACGACTAAATGGGATCTGACTTACGCTTCTTTAATGTGACTAGAACGAAGACGCTATAAAGTGACCGCCAGGTAACGTCACATCATGTGTCTTCAGAGAAGACACTAAAACGCGGCTTTTTGGGATCCGACTTATGTGTCTTCCTAAAAGTAGCATTTTTTTTTAGAGTGTATTTAAAATGCGATACATGGGAAAGCGATTGAGGAACAACGGAAAGGATGAATATGGTGTTCCAGTCGAATTCGGCGCACAAATCTGCACCCGACAAACTAAGATGCTAATAAAATACTGATTATAGAAGATTGACACACACGCAGATTCGTGCCTTCCATGCACTCTGTATTACTGACCTGGTCTTGAGGAATTGTGCGCTGTTGATAATACATGAATATATTTACTACGTTCTCTCAACTCTTTTACAGCTTCAGCAACACCTCCCATTCTATTATCACATTCAACATAAAGCTCATGATCTGTTTTATTATGTTTCGCCAAACGTGATTCAATACGTAGAAGATTAACACCGTGCTCCTAAAATTAACAAACAAGTAAAATTACTCTCTACTGCTGAACAGCCATCTACTACTGATCAGCTGTTAATTACAAACTCTTGTTATTTTTCATAAGAGTCAATGATGGCCAAATAAAACAGCAGAGAACAAATTCCTTGATATGGAATTACTTTGATATCGATTTTTATATAAAAATATTTTTAACGTGGCGGGACCCTTCACGGGCAGAAAAGCGTTTGTTAGCAAAACGCATATTGTACATGTGTTGCATATGAAACAGCAACGATAAATACTAACCTCAAAGATACGCAATGCTTTTGATAAACTTCCGAATGTTTCTTCATCAAGTGCAAATATTAGTGAAGTTTTTGCGGTACGGTCCTCATCGGCCTAGAAAAAGCAAAAGAATCTAAAATTGTGTAAATTTAAAAGCTTCTTCTCAAAATTATAAAAGACATGCTAATAATAATGAAATAATACAGCCATCGCACATGTAGCAGAAAAACATTGCCCCGTTCACTATCGAATACTAATGATTTCGGTACAAATTAGGAGGCTTCATTCTACATAAAAAGGAAGCGTTACGGAACAGACAAGACAAATTCCATCAATCTAGATATATAGACAGATAAAAGCGAAATAAAAAATCATCAAGAAAACGAACCTGAGGCATCACATCAATTGTATCAAAATTATTCACTTTTAATCTACAAAAAAGTCTAAAATTCTTGTTTCACGGATGCGATAAACCTAAACGCATTAACAAATAGTTGAAATGATTAGTGAAAACGCCTAGTAAGAATATATATTTTCTATTCTCTTTTACAAGGAGTCTGCATATATACACTTTATTGTTGGCATCAGATGGCGAGACGAGAAAAAAAAGAGGTGTGGTAACAGCATGTAATAAAACTTTAAAGATCGACTATGACGACGAAACAAAACCAAAAATATCTAACTACTGTTATACAATAACATCCTAATGTACTTTCGCCACACCTCTTTTGTGTTGGCACATGGGATATCTTATATGAAAAGAAATTTTCACTGAAAAAATCGACTATGATGATAAAAGAAAACCAAAAATATTGAATTGCAAAACGAAAAACAAGAACGAATAGAGAACTACCAAATAAGGCGATACCTCTTTCCATCTTCACTGCATAAAGATGGCGAAGAACGATAAATACATCTATATGTTTATTTTAACTCATATTTAACTTATTTCTAAATATGAGATAATAAGGGCATCATTTCTCGTTTTGTTAACGCTTAAAGTAATGACAATATAAAAGAGGCATCCTATGAGCATACATTGGTGCTAGAAAAATGTATAAACTGATGTGCCTATAATTCTTGTTGTTATTCGATTATGTATGATATGTCAAATATTCTACTGCTTGAAAATTTTCTAAAAATATTTTAAGTTAATGGATGTAAAAAGTAAAGATTTAGTGATTACCTACGAAGGAGAAATATTATGCATTAATTATTGATATTCGAACTTTTTGTACGTATCTACTTCGATTTTTTGTTAAAAGAAAGAAGAAAATCTATATTGTAAATTAAATTACACCACTTTGTTTTCTATCCTTAATATGTGTTTTAGCTTCTTATTAATTCTTGTCTATTAGCTAACAATTGCTAATAACAAACAGTTTTCATCAAGTCTACAAAGGTATAAACGTTTCAAGTTTGATTTGTATGATTAGTTACCGAGCGTAAAGGGTTAGGTATGCATTCTGAGTTGAGATAAAATTGCTCTGATATTGAAGAGTAAACAAGTGATACTCATGCACTCCGCATCCGATCTAGTGTTGCTTTTATTCTACTTCTTCAGCCAGTTGCATTAGAAAGATCTAAATCCATTAAGTAGATGATTACTTTTATATTATATACTGACTGTATTTCTGAAGGATGTGTGAAAAAGGATCTGAACAAGTGAAAGAGTTTATAATCAGATGAGGTGTATGTCGAAATTCCATTAACTTTCCTGCGAACAAGGTTCTTGAAAAACCAAGATTTTAGAAAACCAAAAAAAATCAAGTCGCGCGTTTCCAACAGAAACTGTTTGTAAATAGTCTATTCGTGTAGAGTAAACATTTCTGAACAAAACTAGACGTCATCGAATTTTCCACGACGTTCTTTCGTAGAACTACATCTATTTTACGAAAAGTCTCTCCACGTCAAAATCAGCAAAATCGCTAGAAAAAGAGCAAAAGTGATAGTGAAAACGACCGAGGGGTCTTTCGTAAGTTGAATGTAGTTCGATGAAAGAACGTCGTGGAGAGTTCGGCGACCTCTATTTTTCCCTTGGAATCACGGGAGTTGATTTTTTTGGGTTTTCTTAAATCTTGGTTTTTCAGGGACCTGGTTCGCAGAAAATTTAAAGGAATTTTCATATACATCTCATCTGATTATAAACTCTTTCACTTATTCAAATCTTTCTTCACATTTGTTCTAGCTTTAGACGTCCTGCACTAGAAAGTTGTCTAGGCTATTTCACCAAGAAGTGTCGCTATGGAGCTGTCCTCTAGTTTATAAGGGTTTCTCGAAGTCCTCTTTCCTTTTGTGTTTTAAAAGCTTTCTCCAAAACCTTTGGAAGTAGGACTTCCAGAAAATCGTGATTTTTGGACTACATTACTTGAATTAAAAGTACTTTGAAAATCACTGTTAGGGCATGGAACATTTTAAATAGTATATTCGGATTCAGCGTCGAAAAGCGAACATTTTGAAAAAAACTGAGGCTTCAACTCAAAATTTCAATTTTTCAATTTAATTTAAAATTTAAAAAGCTCAACTTTTTTTAAGATGAATGTAGCCAGGCTAAGAGATAGAGATTCGGTTCAAATGTGGTTGGATAGAGAATGAAAAACTAAACAAACGTAGGGGTGTGACGAAATTGCAATACCATGTGGTCAAGGTTTTCTAGGAGATCTTCAGAAACCCTCCTTTTAATTTCTCTAGTTTTGAAGTTAAAACTTTTCTGCCGAACTGTTTCGAAGCACTAATGGCCAAAAACAATCGAAATAAGATATTTCAAT